TTCCCGTTCGCCTCCTCCAGCGGCAGGATATGATCCACCGGCAAGGAGGGACGCGAATAAGGTGTCTGATAAAATAAGTCTTATAACATATATAGATTTATGATAATTAATACTGAGCTAGCAGATGAGAAGTCCTAGTCATTGGCCAAGCAGCTTTGAACCTAATACAAGTTTCTGTGTATTCATTTGGGCCTAACTCGGGCGGGTGGCTGGCGTAAAGCTCACACGTGGTGGTGGGGTTCAGGCAGCTTTTGGCAGAAAGATTTATCATAACAGTAGCATTATTATGTAATAGCCAGAAACTGGAAGCAGTCTAGATGCCCCTCAGCTGAAGAATGGATAGAGAAAATGTGGTACATTTGCACAATGGAGCACTACTCAGCAGAAAAAAGCAATGGAATCTTGAAATTTGCAGGAATATGGATGGAACTCGAAGAAACCATTCTGAGTGAGGTAACTCAATCACAAAAAGACAAACATGATATGTACTCAGTCATATGTGGACCTACTTTATGATACATAGTAGTGACCGTGCTTTATCAGAGCTGTTTTTAATGATATTGCTCAGAATGGTTTCCTTCCAGATGATGATTGAGAAGCTAATTTAAAAAAAAAATGGTGCCAGGTACCACAAGAGTAACAGAATTGTGCTCTTTTCTGGAATTTTGTTTTTTACTTTTTTCGTTTTGTTTTGTTTTGTTTTTAAATGGAGTGTGCTGGATGTCTCTACAATTTTGTTCAAATGACTGCAGAACATGGAAAAGCTATTTCTGCTATTGATGCATAACATACTGCTAATATATATATATATATAAATATATATATATATATACATATATATATATGTACACACATAATTTGAATTTTTGGAAACTTTAGCTGTGTTGTCAACTTTGGAAAAAAGTATCCCAGTTTACCGTGTTGAGTTGGCATTGTACAGAAATTAACAGCCATATTGGTCTAGAAATGTTGAACTTAATTTTTTTCCATTTGTACAGGGGTAACGCACTGTATTAAATATGTAAGGTGTTATCTATGTAGATTTAATTACAAAAACTAATAAAGTATTCTCTAAATAAAAAATATTAAAAAAGAAATAAAAGTCCATGAAAGTGAATATATATAATCTGAAAAATAAACTACAAAGGCAATTTTATTTGCTATATAAATCAATTATATTATTGTAATGAAATACCTGAGGCTATTAACTTGAATAAAAAGAATGAACTATTTGGGCTCATGGTTCTGGAGGTTCCAAAGGGCTCATTTCCTTTGGGTACTGGATGAAGGAAACATCAAAAGTGAAAATAAAGATTCCGTTGAATCAAACCATTTCTATATTGAATCAGAGAGTAGAGCTAGCTCAGATACTGGAGTCCCACAGTCTTCTTTGAAGATGTAATAATCTAAGGATCTTCTACTAGGCTCTATTTCTAGAAGATTCCATCACCTTTCAATCATACCATCTCAGAGTTCAGATCTTTAATACATGGATCTGTGGGAGACACTATCCATACTCAAGTTATAGTCTTTCCACAAAGTAAAATATTTGGAAATTGAAAGACTTGTACAATGAATGCTAAAACATTGCTGAAAAAGTTAAAGACACAAATAAATGGAAATGCATGCTGTTTTCATGTATTAGAAGATGTCATATTGTTAAGATATCAATATTACAAAAAAGATATCAATATTACTCGAGACAACCTACAAATGAATGAAATTCACATAAAATACAAGATTTTTTTTTTTTCAGAAGTAAATAAGGTCATTCTTAAATTCATATGGACATAGTATCCTGAATGGACACAAGAATCTTGAAAAAGGTCAAAGCCAGAAGACTCACATGGTGGTTTGAAAGAAAATTGCCCCCATAAGGAGTGGAGGTATGGCCTTGTTGGAGGAAGTGTGTCACTGTGGGGGTGGGCTTTGAGGTCTCCTATGCTCAAGCTACACCAGTGACACAGTTCACTTCCTGCTGCCTGCAGATCAATATGTAGAACTCTCAGCTCCTTCTCCAGCACCATGTCTGCCTGCAAACAGTCATGCCCTGCCATGATGGTAATGGACTAAACCTCTGAAACCGTAAGTGACTCACCCCAATTAAATATTTTCCTTTGTAAGAGTTGCCATCGTCATGGTGTCTCTTCACAGTAATAGAAACCCTAACTAAGACAACTCACATTTATTGATTTCAAAATTCACTACAAATGTAGACTAATCAAGACAAAATGGTGCTGGCATAAAGACAGACATGTGGCCCAAGGGGATGAAATAAACACCTGAAAAGATTCTGTCAACATGATA